TCTGCGTCTTCAGAATAAAAACCGCATTCACAATTTGAATTGTCACGTAAGTGATTGTAGTGCAAATCAGCATTTAAATTGCTACACTTATTTCTTATACGTGTGTGGTGAATTTGTAAAAATCTGTCACCAGTAAGGAAATATATCGGAACTTGAGGCGGCGTAAAGATTTTTTTAATTTTGGTTTTGAAAGATGAAAGTGTAGGAGACGTTCGCGTTTCAAGATCTAAACTGTTCCATAATTTAATGGAAGATGGTATCACTGATTTTGAATAAATTTCTAGACGTCGGGTAACAGTTGCATAGTTTTCGTTGTTTCTTAAATTATATGTACTAGTATTACGAACTAATTCTGGAAAAATATCACTTAAATAACAGGGAAGCTCGCCTTGGTTATGTTTAAAAACTAGAATTAATTTTTGCATTTCCTTCTGTCTGCAAGTGATATCCAACCGATTTCACGAAGAAGGTTAGCGATAGATACTGACCTCTTTAGACCAGTTACAATTCGAGCAGCATCGTATTGAATGCTTCCAAGTGAATTTTGTTCATACACAGTACAACTGTCCCACACTATAGATGCATATTCAATAATAGGTCTTAAAAAGGCTTTACAGATTTGATTAAGTGTTTTTCTTTTTAATTTAAACTTTAGCATTCGCATTGAACCAAGAATTTTAGAGGCAGAATTTGTTAAATTCGAAATATGTTGATGCCATGTACCATCATCACTAAATGTAACACCTGAATGCTTGTGAGAATGAACAAAATTAAGATGATTATTTTGGAAGTAAATATCATGGGTGTCGCGATTATTTTTGGAAAGTGAAAAAACCATAACTTCAGTTTTAGCAGCGTTAAATTGTATTAACCACTGATTTGCCCATGTTGATATATGTAGCTTTTCCTTCATCGAAAGCTTTACATATCTGATTATAAATGTCTATTAATTGGTGCACGGTTGAGTGTCCTGGAAGGAAGCCTGCCTGATTTCTGTATATTAACTTATTTTCATATATGTAGAAAGTTGTTTGAATACTTAAAAATAATACGTTCCATAATTTTTCCTATACAACTTATAAGAGATACAGGTCTGTAGTTGAACGAAATAGATTATAATTTTAAGCAATATAAATACAAAATTAAATTGTGAAACAGAAAGGGGTTACATGTGTTTGCGTTTATTTGGAAAAAAACCGGGAAATTCACCTTTAATCATTTGTCTTGTGTTTTTCTCCCTTTCTGCAAAATTGCAGTAGGAGTCGTGTTGTTTTCACATTTAAAAAGCAAGTTGATGTAAAACGAGACATGCAAATTACTATGAGAAATTTAATGTTCGAGATTTGCTGATTTCCATTGTGTTTTTGCAATTTTAAGAGAGAAAATATGTTGTTCTAACTGATTTTACGACCAATTTGTTACATAGGAAAACAGCGACAAAAACTATTATGTGCTGGTCTGTTTTTCATTCAGTATAGTTATTAATAATTTAAACTGGCATTAAATGTTTCGATAACATCCGTGCACAACTTCTAAATCAAAATAAATTATGAATGTGTTAGGCAAACTCCCTGCAACTTTTTATAAATATTGTTTTCGTGATAGAAACATTTCAAATATTAGAATATACCAGGATAAAAGATTATTCAATGAAAAACAAAACATATGTCAACCTTTTGAGGAAAGAAAGCTTATGTTATTGAAACACTCTCGAATCCGTTCCAGGAACTAACCAGTACTAAGCAATGTGTGTAATGTTTCTTGCTCATTGAAACAACGGCTTGCCAAAGATTTGAACCACCGTGGCAAGCAATCCTCAGATTACTGGTCCGACGTGATAACCACTCGGCCACGACGCCAACGTCAAAGCTCAATTAACTTAAAGTTCAAAAAAATTAAGCTTACAATGAAAATGGGTTGAATTTTGAAATATTGTTCTTACGGTGGTTATCATGGAACCTTCAATATGACGTATGGGCGACGCATGATCCCCAATTACAAGAACACATTATGAAAGTATGGTAATTGTTAATAATGACTGTCGTAAATGAACTTACTATCTTTCACCATTTTAGCTTTGTAAGAGTAATTAAACGTTGATATTGTTATGATTTAAAAGAAATATATACCTTTAAATAGAAACAAAAAGTCTTGTGATAACTGGATAATTTGGTTTTATAAAATGATCATAAAACGGCGATTTACAAAAAGATATTGATATTCCTGATAATAAATCTACATTATACCAGTTACAATAAAAATTACATTATTGTAGCAAAATTAAAAACATAATATCTTAAGAGAGTATTTTTTTATGGAAATTGCCGTCCATGGGAAATAAAACGCATGTTATAGTAAACATTACTCAAATATTCCTTGATAATTCAAGGGCCTGTTTTCATTGAAAATGCTTTATTTCTAGCACAAATATTGTAGTAGAGAAAATAAATTCAAATTATGAGAAACTAATTACTATAGAGAAAACTTCTTCGTGCTGGCATATTTAAATGGCTAAAACACCTTTGATTCAAAACGATATAATCTTCATTGTAAGAATCTCTTTGCGGAAATAAGCACGAAAGGAAATAGATTTTTTGTATCATAATTACGATTTTAATTTGAAATAAAGGAAACAATATAAAGAGAAAATGTGTGAACATTCTATGTTGATCTAAATGAATCAACCTTAAGAACATTTATAGGAAAGTTATTATCATGACAAATTTCAATTTAAAAATGATCATGCTTAATGCTCACACAATGCAAATGATATTTCATTTATTATGATATCAATGCCACTTAAATCTAGATTTCTAAAAAAAAAATACGATACATTTGATAGTACTGCAACAAAGTATCATATGATTTTTTCATTTGTCTTTTCTGATTGAAATGCATTTATATTCGAAACAAGCAGCAGTATTACTATAAATATCACTTTATAACAGCACCGTATAGGCGTAATTCAGATGGTTTCATTTTTTGTGTGATTTGAATGATTATTTTATTTTCGACAGTATTGCTAATTTTCATAGTTTCTATTGGCTTCAATTTACAATTTGAAAATAACTGGATTGATTTTTTATTTGCAAGAAAACAAATTTTGCCAGAAAATGAAACTATAGAAAATAACTACGTACAATATATGTGAATACAAATTAAACGAACGAAAATGTTATATATACTGAAGAAAATAAAAAATAATCTAATAAAAATCTGTATTGTAGTCGTAAATGGAAAAACATATTGTTAGTTCCTTCAAACTAAAACTATTTGTATAAACTAAATTAAAGCTAATGGAAGAAAGGATTGTGAAATCTTTTCTTCAACTATTTCTCAGTATCAAATAAAATATACTTTCTCGCTAAAAATATTTTCCACCATAAGATTAGTTTTTTATTTCATATATGCTAATACATGTATATAATGTTATACATGTGATCATTTCAAATAAGATATCAATATATGAACATTTATTTTCAATTAAAATAAGGCAGAAAACAATGAATTTTTGATCAAAACAGATCCGCTCTGACACATTTCCATGTGTTAGTTTAGTAATAGAATTTCTCTGTTTGCCGAGTAACTAAGTAAAGTATTATTTTAATTTCAAAGCATTGAGCTTTAGATTAGAATAATATAGAATTATTTATGGTTCTGTAATAAATTATGCACAACATGAACAATGCAAATCCTTCAAATTCAAATCAATTGTTTAAAATGTTATCAATATCATTCAGAACAATCAGTCACATTCTCTGGAATGAATAGATGAGCACTCAGGAAATTCCAGATCCACACATGCAATAAAATATTTAAAATCAATACAAACACGTGCTCATTTCTATTGTAATAGTTTGCTAATAGAACACTTCTAATGCATACATTCTTTTGCAAGATTCAAATAAATGCTATTGATGCTAAGTGTAATAGGAATATGCACATCTTGTTTTAAAATATCTAAAGAATAAATTTGTTTTTCACTTGCTCTTACAATCTTTTTCAGACTCAATGTATTACACAATAAAGCTAAGCCAAAATATTTTAATGATAAATGATAGATGATAACCTTGCTTTAAAATATATTTCAATTAAAAATTGAGATCTTATGGTATTTTATATTAACAACATAAAAAAGCTTAGATGTATTAGATATGAGTTTTAAACTTTAAATAATCTTAATCGTTTGAATGTTATCCTACAATAATAGTATACAATGTAGTTATTTACATCTTTGGAAGAAAACATATTTGAATTAAAATGAAATATAAATCAATTCTAAATATTCTAAGTATGATTGTGGGTTATGCCTATATATCTTGTCAGTTGGAACAAAACTTCTATCAAAATGTTACCGTTGAGAAGACTAGTTATGTATTCAAATAACTGCTAAAAGAATTTGCTAGAATTGAAATTCAAAACAAACAAAATAATAGTCTCATTAAATTGGACATATTTAGAACTAAACATTGTGCTCGCAATTATGATAAAGAGACTATCTCCTTGTGGATTAGGTCAAAACATAAAATATTTACGTTTATCCTCGGCTTAAAATTAAAAAAATATATATATAATAAATGTATGACAAGAAATCTTGAGTTTGATAGCATAATACAAAACAATGATATAAAAATTAATGTATTTATAAACCTAATTATTTACTAAACAAACTAATATCAAAATAAATGTCATTAAGTTGTAACAAAATAGCCTTCACGTTCGTATTTTATTGCATGGGAGTGTTCACACTTTTCTGTTAGCAAGAGCAAAGATGACAAGTTAATTATATAAACACTTGACAGAAAATAATTATCAATAAGATTGTTTGGATCAAAATTAGTGTTGCCTTTTTCAATATAATCACACCCGTATAAAATTAGCACAATATCGAAAAATAAAAAATTCCGTTTCGTCTATATTTCCTGAGACGAAAATTTGTTATTGGATTGGTTTAGAGCATCTGTAATCTAGGTAGCAATATCGATAACACTTTGGAACGGTATTGAAAAACGCCTCTGGCATCTGGCGTTATCAACTTATTCAGTTTATCTAAAATTAATATAAGTAATGGAACTGGTCCGAAAAGAGTGAAAGCTTGATAAAAAGTTCTGAGGTGGGGAAACATTTCAAGTCTGTGGATTTTGATAACATGTTAGTGTTTTTGCCGAGAAGGAAATACCGTTTTTGTAAGTTTTTATTTTTGAATGAATTTGTCTCTTTTAAAATTAGTACAAGCGTTTGTAAACAGTAAATGTTTTCTTAGTTATTTGTTTTCTCGCTGTTCATTGAATCTATAAAGGTGCATACGTTTCAAAATATAACTTAGTAATATTTTAGCTTAGCTACCAAGATGATTCATATCTTTATACTATATTTTACACTAATAATCGAAAACTATTACATCTCCTTGGTTTTATAGATGTTAAATTAAAACCTTTCTGGCGATAAAGAATTTCATATTATTGTATATTGAAATGATATAAAAAAAATCATGAGACAGATGAAATCATTTTTGACAGAGATGTCATTTGTACTTTTGAACAGTGTTATTATTATCATTCTTTTTTTCTTTTCTTTTTTTCTTCTTTTTTTTTAAATTGTATTTGTATTTACACAATATGTCAAATTGCACTTAATTAGTTTATTGTTTCATAGATATCAGTGAATATATCCTTCCTTTTACTTTTATAAGAAAATTTAAATATAATTACCCTAACTGACATAAATAATTATTATTTAGAATATAAAGGTAGATAACTTATTGAAACACTAACACTTTCAATTATTATACTATAAGAAAATACTACTTAATTGTATACGTTTCTGCATTACCCATCATTTACTTGTACAAATGAGTATTGGACCACAAATAGAGCATATTGAAATAAAATTACTATAATATTCGGGGAAAAGTTAATAATGACAAGATGTTTAGTCACAGATAATCATTATCAAACTCTAATTCTCGTTTAAACTGTATTAAATATTTGTCATGCATGTTTTGTTTGGCCAGACAATTATATAATCTATTATTTCATAAAATAGTTAAGTTGCAAGGTATAATGATACAATACCAGGGTGACTCTGTCAGTTCTTATGACAAACATATACTTGTTGTTTGCTAGCAAAAACCTGTGCATTTAAGTTTTGTCTAAAATTTATCCTCCGTTTTCTTCCCATGTTTATTTTTAGATGTTATTGCATCCTAAACGTTGAGAGTATATTTAAATATACTCGTGATTCAAATGGAATTATACATTGCATGGCAAGTAATATATTATTTATAAAGAGGTGCCTTCTTCAAGCATACAAAATAACAGGTTTTCACTTCTAATTAAAAAACATTAGCAAATGTGTGTTTCTTTTCCTGTAGTATGGTAGCAAATAACAAGTAATGTCAGTCTTAATAGCTAAAGTAAATGTGTATGAACACCAGCATTTTACGTGTTTATTTTCGTTAAGATATTGTTTATTAAGAGGCTATCTAGCTGCTGTTGCTTTATGTGTTATACTACGTTTTTGTTGTTTCTTGTTGTTTTCTTTTCTTTTTTCTTTGTTGTTGTTGTTGTTGTATTTAATTTCATCTTGCAAAATGCTTAATTTTGATTTGCATTAATTCTGTCAGTAATCCAGGTGACATACAATTAGAATGGGTTCCGTATTTAATCTATAGAAGAATTCGAATTAAACAGTAAAAAGGAGCCTTGGAATAAACAAATCTAATAATTAATTCTATAAATCACAGATCTTTAAAATACGTAGGAAAGGAACACATCTGTATAAACTCGCTACGTTAATTAACATTTAATAATAAGGCGATTTTTTTAATCAGATCATATAAAAACATTCCGTTGTGAATGTTTGATGTTTAAACAAAAGAAAATCTTTTGTTAACTAAGCGTATGAATAAATTACATTTGAAAAGCCTTATTGCATATTCTATGCACGACCGTGTCATACCCTTTCTCGGGAGCGGAATACACGGGTATGTGGTAATTAATTATTTCAGAAATAGAACAAAGTTATCAGAAAAAATACAGAATACAGATAAAGAATCTTAAAAATGACCATTTAATCATTATTTTAAGGTTTGAGCATTTAATATTAGTATGAATACAGAATGGTATATATGCTAGTTTGAAATCTAATATAGTCTCCTTGTAAAAATCTATAATAGCATTGCTCTGTAGTAAATCTAATTTAGAAAAGAAGATTTATTGAGTACATATTACACTGATAATTTTCCTAACATCTATTAATGCTAATTTAATTCACATGATATTTTCTTTTTTGTTTCAACTTGACGTTAACGCCGTAATATCGACCATAAAGTAGTTTATTTTCCTGAATTATGCAGATTCACAAAATTTATTTCTGTCTTTTAATCTCAATCACGGTGCAATAGATAAGTTTATACGAAATGTACCATCCATGTTGATTTACGATAACCGTTTGATAACCACTTATCAATGTGTGTATGCCATGTTAATACGTCTTAATATTCATTTGACACCACTTTTTGTGATACAGTTACACTAGGTACTTAACCACAAATCTGTAAAATTTGTATAATTACGTTGTCTTGCTTTGCTTTTTGAACACTCAGGTAAATTTTTAAGGAATTTGTTTGGTCGGTTGTTTGGTTTTACGGCGCACCAATACAGTGTAGGTCTTATGGCGCCGAAACAGGAAAGATGATTTAGGCTTACCTAAATCAATTTTTAAATCTGGTCACGTGGTCTATTTTCTAAATAAAATGAAATAAAATGGCCGCCATTTTTTCTCGATTCATTCTTTATTTCGACGATAGGGCATCGCCGAAGTAACTATTACTCTTATAAAATTTAGTTATTTTCACCCTAGAGTTCCTTTCGTATCAACACCAGGGCTCAAAACCACCTCACCTGCTGGAGCCAAGAGTTGCATAGACTCTAGTAATTCGAACTCATTTAGTCGCCTCTTATGATCATGCGGGGATAAACGGTTGCTGCAAATATTATACCTCAACCATTAAACGTAAAACTAACAAATAGAAATATTAAGTTTGGCCAGACAGCACGGACCTACAGACTTGGCTAGCTCTTTGGTGATGGCAAAGGGGAATCAGTTTTTTATCTATCAGGTTAAATGTTAATGACAATACTGTAATGCAAAATAGAATAGAAAGAACTATCTTTGTAATGCTCAAAGCAATTAGGTGTCAATCATGTAGTGTATGCATGTGACCTGAAAGCTTTTAGAAATCTTAACAATTTCAGAGTAGGTTTCCATGAAAGACGATAGAATTTCTTTTTAAAAAAAATATCTTTTGGGTGTGAAATATTCCAGAAATGCATGGTTTTCATTTGCATCAAATCCTTAATATTTTATTCAATCAAATACGGAAAAAAATCTAAAAGTAGAGCGTCGTTTTGGAATAAGTTTAAAACATAGCAACGAATGAAATGTTATACTAAAAATAAAAAAAAAACGCAAAAATTCAAGGGGAAAATCTCTTTGTATAATTCTGCAGAAAAAGAAATGGCTTGATGCATGTGGTGTTATCAGATTTTTCCTGAATTTGAAACTGATATTAAATATGATACTGTCAGATAGATAATTATGATAAGGATTTTGAAGTGAATGAGAAGTGAATTTGTTACATTAACCTACAAATAGGACACCCCAATGAAACATTTTGATAAATGGAAACAATACATTGCTTTTTCTATGTTTCAAATATTTTCTTTAATAATAACTTATATGTTTTATTCTGCTTTCTTTTACGCGTTATTATTGGTACTCAAAATAGTTAATGCATACGTATGTGCATATTTAACGTGTTAAACATCTTGAAATATGGAATGAATAACTGATAAAGTAAGAAATTGAAAGAATATCGTATGAATAGAATATATTGTGAAAGGTTTGAAGCAACTTTAAATGTAATGACTGCTTGAAGAAACTGTTGTTGTAACGTAGGGATTCGAGCATTATACTGGTTTCAAAACAATATATTATCCTTTAAGGACAGTCAATAATATTCTGTTGCTGATAATATTAACAAACAGGGGATATTCGATTCGATAAAAAAAGTTTGCGTTGGAAACTTATCCGCATTTCAGATATTTAAACGGTTGGAATTCTAATAATTGTGCATGATAATCTGTTCTAAAACTGTTCGTGTAAATATGGATGTTAAATTAATAAATCATACAGTTAAATCTGGACTAAAACGTTTTATTGATTAATTATGATAATCAATAATATACATCAAGCCAGATATGAATATTAAATGTTTAGACTGATTTTAACTTTAGTCGAATTAAAAAGCAGGCATTATTCCGATATGAAAAAGTATATTTATCAAAATATGTCTAAATTTATAAATTGTGTAAGATTTGATATAATATGAACATATTATATATTACTACAATGTAAGGAGATTGTGTGTAATGATGTTTTAAATGCAGCCTACGCTTTATATACTTAATGTTAAAATCATCTACACTAGTTGCTTTTGTGTAAATAAAAGATATGATCAGAATACATTATTCACTCTTTTTGTTATGACGATATGATTCGATAGTCATTTTAATCTTTAAGAAAAGGCATGAACAAAAACACACTCATCTTAAACATTATGAGATTTGCAACACTTTATAGATCATTACATTCAATTAGAAATATTTGCAAACATTAACTTTATCGTGTATATAAACGGAGCAGTTTAAATCAAATACTCATGCGAAAATTCCTTATCGCACAAATTGGCTTTTTATACCATTTGCTTCGATCCTAACGCAATTTATATCCGCGCATTGAATTGACGGGATCATTTATTTCCGTTCTCCTCTCTCGCTAGCCGTAAAGTAGTTCCATTGATAAGACTTGACGAGAAGAAAACACACCAGTATTTGCAATCATGATTTACAGTTTAGGAAATATGCTTTGATTTGTTAATCCTAAGTTTTCTTGAGGCAGTGAATGCAACGATGTCATTTGCATAAGCGATAAATTGCAGATTAAAGTTGTGTTGATAAATAGGAAAATGTGAACAACGGTATCGATTTTGTTTGTTTAATTGTATCGTAGTTGGCAGGTGCTACATATGGTCAACGTCTTTTAACAATTTTGTCGGAATATGTACAGGATTTTAAGTCATTAAGACGTTTTCAAATGATAATAGTTTTCTATACTGGAGTATACAAATCGAGCTATAACTTTATAAAAAGTAGTTCAACAGTACTGAATACAGAGGTATACCTACATTCAATGACTCTGTGTCAGACAATTTGACGTTTACATGAAATTAAATAAAACATGTCAATTTAACATGGTATAATGGTACCGGTATTTCTTTTAATCTACTAAAAAGATTTTTAGGAAATGGAAAACAAACTATTTCATAATTGATTAACGTAATGATTATTGAATATTTAAGCATTAAATCCAAGTAATGAACTATTTTGATATGAGAGAGCCACAGCTGTAAACTTCAGCCTACAATTATATTAAAATATAAATATAGTAAATATGCTGGAACAGTGCTTTTCAAATGAGTGTTAGCGTTTATTCATTAAGCAGATATAAAGAACAATATTTACACAATATATATTTCTTCTTACAGGTTTTCTACAATGAATTGAGATTTTAATTGGATAACAGTCATTATGGTAAGCTATTTTTCTATAATTGTTTTAAAAATAATATAGAACATAAACTTATGTTTTTCTGAATAAGTTTGCTTTTGTCGTCGTTAACGATATATGTAGAAACATATGTCGATTAAAAACTGTAAAATGACACACCTTTGAATTGCACAAATTACCTTTTAGACGATGAATCTGTAACACTTATGTTAATGCCTCACTTACAATATACTTTTTATTTATTGTGTCAATATATCCCAACTACTAAATTAAAAATATACTATGTTTATCCTTGAGTAAAATATTTTATTGAAACTTATGAAATTCTTACTGAATATGTTTAATTTGAATAAAAGTATGAATAAAACATGTATTGGATGTTGCATCAGTATGACAGGTCAAGTAAAGTTGGTATTATCTTATAAAACTGTCAGTTTTTTAATGACACTCACTATACGTTCATATTGTGATCACTTATAGTGTGTAAAAATCTTATATACATAACACATCTACTTTGTGTGAAGACAAAACATGAATTTTGTTGTTGTTGTTTTTTTATGTTGTTTTGTTTTAAATGAGACCGTGTAGCAATGATCACTATTTTCTGATATCAAATTTAAGCATATTATACATGTATCTTTAAATGTATTTATGCATATGTTAATACTAGTAAATTAGACATATTAGTGGAAAAATGATACTGTGAATTTTGATTGCATTTTCCACTCTTGTGTCTAGTTTAACGGGGTTATCTATTTAAAACAATGTATGAAAAAGAACAAATATTGATTAAGAATTGATTATATACATAGTATTTATTATATTAAGTAAATGGAACACTTTCGGTGATATAGAGGGTCTATGCAAATATTGCTGCATTGATTTTTTTATCTTAATTTTAATAGCTGTCGATACATACCGTTTATTTTAGTTCTTTACTTGAAATCAATATGGCAATGATAACTTTATTTGCATGGTATGAATTATCTTTGTCTACGATGCAAAGTGAATACAAATTATTATAAATTCTTTCAGGCAAACGAAACTGTCCTTGAACTCTTACGACGCATGCGCAACGATAGTGTAGAAGTTGCGACGGCGGACCCATCACTATTGAAAGCTGCTGCTAATGTTGATAAAATTATTTCGCCTATTCTATACATCTTTGGGTTTCCGGGCAATTTGATTGCAATAATAATATGGCTCCAACCGCGCATGCGCCATTCTTCCGGAACTTACCTCGCAGCTCTTGGATTTGTGGACTTATTGTTTATGGTGATTCATGTGATGTTTGAAATATATAAAGTATGGGGCGTTCAGATGTTTGATGCTCCTGGTATATGCGAACTGCTTCCGGTTGTTTATATGGCAACCCAGTATTTGTCACCGTTGCTGGTTCTTGGGTTTACAGTTGAACGGTTTATCGGAGTACAGTTTCCTTCTAAAAGACAAATATACTGCACGATAAATCGTGCAAGGATTGCAAGTTTTGCTCTGGCGCTGTTTGCACTTGCAATCGGGTCAATGCAGGGGTACATTTACAAATACAATTCTAAATTAGATTTCTGTGGTCTAAGAGAGGCTGCAGTACGCGGTGGACATGCATCCTTGTGGTCAATATGGACTTGGATTACAGAAATGCTGGTGTTTATGTGCGTACCAATGCTGATCCTAATGTTCAATGTCATGATAATCCGGCGGATCAGAAACTTGGCGGAGATTGAAAAAAGCTACAGTAGCAAAGCGCTGACAACTACATTTTCTCTTTTGGTCGTTTCGTTTTATTTTATCATTACAACATTTCCGGTGTCAATAATTTACGCAATCAGATATTATTACGTGCCGTCTGAGGATACAGTCGCTGGTGACCCTCAGAAACAAGCGCAATATATGCTGGCGAAGACAATCATAGAGGAAATAGGTACCACACATCATGCTTGCAAATTCTACATATTCTTGATTACGGAACAGGCTTTTCGTGCAGAATTTCTACGTGTAGTTGCAAAGGTTCTTCCCATTTCGCGAGATAAAATTGGATATGAACAACAAACTGAAGTGACTGCAAATACAGAATGGCACGAAGCTGAAATGGGGGAGGTTGGCGTTCGGGACGAGACTGATATGTAACACAGACTTTTCTAAAAAAATGTTTATATTTTTATGATTTGAGTTTGTATTGTCATTTATTGTAAATCATTGAAATAATTTTGACAAAATCAGGTTATTATGGAAATGAATATATCTATTTTAACAATCGTTGGATTGAATGAAATACATTATTGGGGTTTAAAATATATATCTGTGTTATTTGAATTTTTGTAAATTTTACTTTTTATATCTAGTTATTATCATGGACGATCTATTTGTTTACTTGACGTCTGCCTCAAACATTACATTTAAGAAACAGGCGGCGTTATGCTAGGAAGTTATGCAAAGTATGAGTAAGAATGTGTGGGGTAAAGGCCTATAATCTCTTCTTGCTACCTACCCACAAAAACCAATGCAACCCAAAACCCACAACATTTAATTGCCAAGCGAAAACAAGTATTTTATTTTGAACTAAACATAACAATATAGTGTCTGTCAAAAATATTTCATCTTTATATTCAATTCATCCAATGATTATGTAATTGTAAATAGGATTTTTCTCAATAAAACTTAGGCTTTAAACTTTTAGCAGATGCACAGCAATCGTAATTTCTTTTCTTTTGAGTTCCATAATATTCAGTTACAATTGATATATTAAATCTAAAAAATATATTTGACCTACCTACATACTCGAATTGTGCAAATTTCGCATTGATCGCGGGAGAGGAAACAAAGTTAATTCAATGCTGGCCTTAAGCGCATAACTTAATTAGTTTAGGGAACAGTGGTGTAACCTGACAAGTCATCGTTAGGTTCCTCTAAATAATAATAAAACAGTGTATGAATTTTAGCGGAAAACATTTATTTGTGAATGCAAACCACTCATTGACGTAAATCGTCAAATGCAGTTTACTCCTTTTAAATTTTATTGTCCTTAGAATATTTTGAAAACAGTATGTAATATTTTACATATACTTATTACATCATTTGATTTAATGTTTTATTTCAGGGTTTTGTTTATAATTCATTTAAAATATATACAGACATGTATAATACCTATATCATATTAAACTTTCGAAAATTATTAATGGTATGTTTTTTATCCTTTTGCAACTGCAATAATTAATTCTTCCGTTCAAGCAATATTTTTCATAATGGACCATTTCGAATATATAATTAAGTTGAAGACAAGCCTTTCATACAAAACAAGCATGTAAATAAAAAAAAATGTTATAACGCACGGAGTAGAATATAACCAGTTTTCAACATTTAATTTATCAAATACTACTTTCCATAGGTGAAAACATGAGGGCAACTTGCTACATTTGTAACTTTGAAACTGTTACATGTATCAGTTTTCAACAGGCATGAACTCTTTAGCAAATACATTAATTTCATTCAAACTCAGTAATGTTGATTATGGTATATGATTATTAACACGTACAAAGCATCAAACAGAATAAACATCATACGAATGTTTCCAAATAACAGGGTTTCGCAAACATCTGTCTTATATGTGCAAAAATAATATAACTGTGCGGAAAGATGGGCGGGAATAACAAGTCTGTTACTGTTTTACTAGTAATGTACATTACTTTGGGACAATACGCCGCTTATCATGGAATGACATTTACGTGTCACATTGAAGGTTCCATGATTTTGTGCGGTCTTTAGGGATTCCTTATTTCTCTCTATTTTAACTGGCCTGTAGAAGCTTTGAACACCTTATTGAATGAAGAAAAACTAATCAGATAGATCCGACTTTGAAAAATGTATACCTGTTTACGAGGAGTAATTTGCAATTACTGATTGTAACAATGGATGATTGCATAACTACTATTTCGTTTCGTCTCTGTGATTAAAATACTTTATCTGCCCCTATTTTTGTACATAACACAATCAGAGTTAAAAAAAAATTTAAAATTCAAAATTTCACCATTTCCGTGTTTAGATGATGAATTCTGTTTAAGCCGCTGCTATATGGTGTGGACGGTAACAGGCACAATCAAACCGAGCTGCTACATTAAATTTTTCAATTCTGCCGTGTTGGACTTTATCTTGTGATTCTGTTTTTTTTTTTGTTTTTTTTTTTTGTTTTTTTGTCTTTTTTTCCTTTTTTAAAATTTGGTTTTTCTAGACTGATTAAGTACAGTTAGTGTAGTCAAACAGAATCACCTTATGAAAAGTGTTATTTTCTATTTCAGTTTTCAAGTCCTTTTGACTCTAGCATTTAAATAACATAATCTGTAAGTAAACGGTATCATTTCTTTTTTAAACATCACAGTATTGTTACCCTGCTTACACTTGTTTTCCTGAAAATCGTGACATTAAATACTTAATATGCAGAAAAAATCGAAACCAACATGAACATTTTTAATTTCATTATTTCACAACATTAGACAATGTACAGTAACTGCAGAGTAGATTATTTAAAAATATTAAAGACTTCATTTCAAACAAAGGTTATTTGAACAAATCCTCATTCAAGTACTTCTGGATCACTCAAAACATATAATTCCCTCTACATCTATTAGGTGCTAATGTTTAAAAACTTACAAAAATTGCTTCTTCTGCCCTATGAAACATTAGAAATAAATCACTTTGATTTATTGGTTGTATCAAAATGAAATTTAATGATGTGATTCGGATTGCCTTAGATTCGGATTGCCTACACATATTGTATTAAAATTTGTGAAATGTGTGTCCCTTTTTGACGAGCATCACTTGTCAGTTTGTGACACGAGGTCATTGATTGGAATTTAACTAATCAAAATACAGATTAGCACATGAACACAGGTTTCTATTTTGACATTTTTGTGAAATAAATGCCACATTTGTGTACTAGTATCTTATCACGTCTTGTCATGTGTAAGCATGATTCTATGCATTGCCCAATTAAACCTTTTGGCGAAAAAAAGACAACATCAAAAACAATTGCTGACGACAACAAAAGAAACGGTGTTAATCTGAGATGTAGCAAAGGGTAATAAAAGAAAGTATATAACATTTATTTTTATCGGTTTAGCATAAATTCACGTTCCTATTATTCATATGAGAGAAATAAAGGAATGATGAATTGTTTACGATAAAACGCAGACTCTCCCTTAATCTGATGTTTGTATAACCGGAAATTAATTAACAAATTATCAATCGGAAACAATTTTTATTGCAGACTTCCGTTTTAGCATAGCTAAATGAGAGTTTTAGCTTAGCTAAATGAGAGAAAAAAACAATACCCAAATAACATCCAAAAGGTAAAATTGAAAGTGTTGCAGATCCGGTTTTATTAAGCATTTTCCTGAACATGTAAGTATCCTCACAAAAAAGTGTTTGATTGTTTAATCACTGTTCTACTGAGATATCCTCTCAGAATGCTATTTATCTTTAATTTTCAAGTTATGCTTTGTACAATAGACATAGATCTAAAGTCAACGACAAAGGAAAATAAAGAGGACAACAGGCACAATGGCATTAATATATTATGGTGCCATTATGTGTTTAAATATATCTAAAATCATTGACTGAGTGTGACAAAGTGGAATTGTTTTTTTTATTTTTTTTTATTTTAAAGTTATGACATAGAATAAAAGTCTGGAAAATGTAAGGCAATGAAAACAATAGTAAAAGGATGAAAACTGCATGCATGCTCGGTTTAATTGAGTCTTTTCATGAGAGAGTATGAAAGGTGCAAAATCCCTCATGCCCCTAGGAATCAATGAGCTTGAAAAACAAAAATAATATGAACTCTGATGAAGTACAGGATACCTTTTTACAGCTGCCACACAACATTTGACACCGACTACAAGTATGTACTGCAATCGGTGCTTCATTTTCTTTCAGTTAGGTCAATACACTATGTAAATATTTATATTCAGTATACACATACTCAAGAAAAGAAGGAAAACTTATTTCTCCAGAGCTGATCCAATTCCACCAGATATACAGTAGTCAATCATTTGATAGCATCAGGGGCAACTAACAAAGTTAATTGTCTGGTAAGTATTGATGTATTATTTTAACCGACTGCTTCAATCAGGCCAAGTATGAAAAAGGAAATGTTTGCTTCTTGTTGCAATTTTTTTTTTCGATCAACACTAATAAATGTATTCAATACCTTTAACAATCGTAAAACATTGGATCGTCCCGAAAAATTCGCACGAGGAAAACGAATTCCTCAACGGAATTCGCTCAGGGTTATAAGGCATTGTTTATTCGCAAGAAAGTAACGAATGACAAAAAGGCCGCCATTTTACAATATGACTGAAGGTAGTTCCAATGTGTCGCCTAATTATTGCGCAGCTTAATAGCTGAGGACATCATATTGTATTGTATCTTTATTCTAAATTGTAAAAATCTATTATAATAATTGTTCCTGACGTGTTTATAAATTTCATTCTTTCTGGAAATATCAATAATTTTGAATGATAGAACATTTTTAGCAGCCGACATTATAGATTGGTAGTTCAAAGTAATCCCAAACCTTTTTGAACTTTATGGTATTTTTGTGATTTCTTTATAATTATCAATACATAATTGTTAGTTGTGTATAAAGGCTCACTTTTTACGATCATTACAAAAGTGAGTTTGACATTACTTGTAATGGGTTTCATATTGAAGAAAATGTCGACGGGCAATAGTTGAAATAGGTGCTGTATTGTATGTGGATGTTAGAAGGCATAACTGTTGAAACACAAGTTAACATCTTATAGAAATTCAGTACCTGCATTTAAGAAATCAATAAGATAAATATCAGGGAGTTCCATATCAAAATCAAAGACATGACTACGAGAAGTGAAATGTCTATTTCTTATATGATGTCCATTACTATCATAATGGGAACTGTTACTCAAAAACATTTATACTTCATATTTCGATATAATCTGAAATGTGTTCTTTCGGATTTAAGTTGAAAATAAATGATACTTTTAGGATACCTGATAAGGTAATTCAAATTGTTACGGTAGTTTGATAGTGTGCTCGTTTGACATTGTCATGCTTTCATTATGATTTATATTTGAATAAAAACTAATGCTTCATGGCGGACAAGACCTACAATGAAAGTAATTCAAATCATGAAAGACATTAGAACATTGTCTTGTAAAACTATATCGTTCATTAACAGACATTCTTTCATAAAAAGAGCACACTAAAAGGCATACATAAACAGAGAAATAAACATGAATAAGCGAATGAAATCAAGCGATCATGCGTCGATGCTGCATACTGTGAAATATGTGCAACTCTTGGCGCCATGTAAAACAGACTTCTATAAAAATGCCCATCTAAGTTTGTTCGTACCTAAACATTTACAGAACCCCTCAGACTTAAACTTAAATCGTTTACCTTGCTTGCGGACTCGGGCCTTAAATACGTACTCTTTCAGATGTTAATATACGATACAAGGTGCATTAACCTGTTTCTGTACTTAAAAAAAAGAACAATTTACAATAACAAGTAAGCATGTGTCCGTTAAATATTGTTTTGCTGCGCCCACCTAATTTAATTACTGTCTTCCTTTGTAAAACCGTTTTCCTTCTGAAAGCAATATATTAATCCCACAAGAGAAACCACAAAGAACACCGTAGGGAACGTGTTACAGTATCGCGTTTTTGGGTTACAGTATAGAATTTTCAAGATGGAGGATTATTTATGGAAAGAGAGGTAGGTGATTTTTATTCAGGTCCATACTACTAGTAGTGTAGTTTCTAAAAGATGTTTTTGTGCTTTGCTTGTAAGGAACAGAATACGGTATCTAGTCATATATTTCTTCAGACCCTGCACCGCAGATTTATCGCTATATTGTCTCATAAATGTGCAGATTTGACAGTTTTAAAATTTGAATCGAGAGACAAACGCAT